GGGAATTGCAAGTGTACCATTCATAATTTAGGCAAAGGAGCACTCCGGCGGTGGGGTGAGTCCAAGGGCCGCATTTAGTTTTGGCCCCGACCAGTCCACTTTCTTACCCCGAATTTGTACCGAAATGCTCGAGGTGGTGCCGACAGCCGCGTAAAATTCAGTAACTAAAGAAACATTGGCACAGGGGCGACCACCAACTTGTCCCATCCCAAAGCGACCAAATGGTGCTGTATTGCCATAAAAGCATTGACCAACCGGGGGTCAAAGGCACGCTCTAAAAGAATTTTATTATTTTTGATCCGATCGTACCTTTCCCGATATGGCATCACCTTTTCTTTCTTTGGCTTTGGTGCTGGCTGTCGTCGTGTCCGTGCTGCTGCCTTCCTCTTTTTCGAAKGCTTGGGCTTGGCGACCACAAAATCATCATCATCAGGAATGTCTTCATCTAAATCCTCCTGCTCTTCTTCTTCTGGAATTTCCTCCACAAGATCCGCCTGGTCATCGTCTTCCTCGGCCACATCATCATCATTGGCCAAGTCATGTGCCATTTCATCTTCATAATCGCTATCCTCAGAAATGGGCTTGGTTACTGGTTGAGGAATGGCAGATTCGGAATTGGAACTCACAATACTTCCCGAGGATGCGTCAGTGCTCATAGTCTGCCCACTGGGGGCAGTGACGAGGAGTTTCTCACTAGGAAGTGTAGTCACGGGTTGAGTCACAGGGGGTTGTGGTGGTAAGTCTTCAGGAACAGAAAAGGGAAATAAATCTTTAGGATTATTAGAGGTAGTGGCTTCAAAGTCGAAAATGAACTCCTCCCCTAATGTATTTAGGTCGAAATCGTGGATGGTGGGTGGGCCGAGTGGTGTCGAGGGAAGGGCAATAGGGGGCGGTTGAGTGGGTGGTTGGTTAATCGGTAGTGGGAGGGGGTTAGATAGAGGGGTGATAGAGGGTGGATTGGTTAGGGCTAGAAAGAGGGGTCGTGGTGTTGGTGTGGGTGTGAGTAAGGTCACGGCGGCCGGCGGTCGCACAGAAGACGAACCGGCGCCGGTGGTTAGGTTAGTGTGTATAATGGTGGAGGGGGTGAAAATGGTGGAAAATAGGGGAGGAGTAGGAGTGATACATACCAGGGTAACGACAGCGTGATACTCGTCGTAATCAACTCTCACGGCGGAGGTTTGACCGGCGATGGTGGTGGATGGTTCCTGTACTGGCGGAGCGAATGCGATGGGGTCCGGTGAGAGAGGCGTTGATGGATGCATCGTCGGAACAAGAGTGTCGCCGGTTGTCGTCCGACGAGATGGCCGGCGAGCAGGTGGTCGAAGTGGTGGTCGAAGTGTGGGTCGGCCGGTTGGATTATTTCTCGTCCTAGCCATGAAAAAGGAAGAAGATGAATAGTGAGAAAAAAAAATGAAGTCTTCTTTTTCCCCCCCTTTTTCATAGGTAACCGATGAGATAAGCATAGGAAACCACCCACATCTGCATGCAAGTGTCCTTGAAAGTACATGTGATTTGAAAAAACTATGATGGTACTAGTCAAGTCCTTACACAAGCCACTATTTTCAGAAAGACCATCATTAC